ACCATTTTTGCCTCTACCAACAGAGGTTGAGCCTATTTGTTTCTGCATGTGCCTATGAGCCACTCTATAGTTTTCTTTTTCTTTTTCTTTTTTGTTTTTGAGAAAGCTCAAATTTTCAATAGACAAGGTTTTGGTTTTTGGACTCTCTGAAAGTTGTGTGAATATTATTATCATCAGATAAAAATACGTCAGGATGATCTGATACATGGTAAAGAGCTAAATCTCCCAGTGAAAATCTTATGGGGTTTGAGAACCATTTTCCGGACAAAACTAGAGACTAGCTAGTATCATAGAGCTTTATCAGAACAACCTCGCTTGATGATCAAAATGTTGTCGAGGAGATTTTTATTTCATGTCATGAAGTTAACTGCTTCAAAAGCTTAGCGGCAGTTTGCACTTTGAACTTTGCAGGGCTGAGAAGGGACATGGCCATCATGTATTGGTTGGGTTTATTACAAGCTAGACCTCACCTTCAAGCCAAAGAAACAGCCCTGTGTTGCAGATAAGGGTGTTCTCTGATAGTGTGTTGATTCAGTGGAATATTAAAGGGAGAAAAAAAAAAAAAGAAAAGGGAAGATAACACGGTTGTTCAAAGGATGCATCCCCCAAAAGGTAAGGGGGATAGTCATGGGGAACAAGGGTGTCCTTCATTTAGTAAAAGTGGATGAGCAGTCTCTCTCAGATGAGTTTTAGCAAAGGAGACAAGGTAATAGGTGTTGCTGTATCATCTTAGGTGGACTCTGGCCCTGTGCAACCATGGGCCATTACATGTCATCCACCACATATTGTTTCTTTCATATCTTTAACCCCTTCACCTTCTATATATATGTCTGGAGTTTGGACCGTTCAGGTCACTAAACACAGCAGCTTCAACTCCAAAGTTCAGACCTCCATTAACTATTTCCAGGAAAGCTTCAAGTGGTTGAGTGGGCGGAGAGAAATCAAATGGCAGCAAGTGTATTCTCAGTGAGGAGTTCAAGTTCAAAGCTTCGGTCACAGTCATGGGAACGCTGTTCGAAGCAGATAAGGCAGCAGAGAACTCGCCTTTACATTATCTGGAGATGTACTGTGTTGCTTTTATGCTGGCATGACTGATCTTATATCTATCACACCTTCCTCCACCTTTCTTTCTGGTGATGACTGATGGGTGATCACTTACCATGCCCTTGAGCTTATAAGCTTTTGGGAAATGGTGGGGTGAGTGTAAACTGTAAAGCAAGTTTGAACTAGCTATTCTATGTTCAGATGTAAAAAAACTAGATGAAGAAGCCGTCTGCTACATGTGTGTAAACAGCAAATTAGCGTGAAGATGGAGTTAGAAACAACGCGCCATATTCTCTTAGTTTCATCAATAGTAGTTTTCTTTTCTTTTCTTTTCTTTTTTTTCCCCTTCAAATTTATTAACGCCTGCTTTTTCACAAAGCTCAGTCTTTACACTCAGCTTTATGCTAAAACAAAGCTAACATGAAGCTAAGGAACTATGTCAGAATAAGGCAGTCTTGTAGATTATATCATCATATATAACTCCTAAATTTTGCTCGGCCGGGTTTTGGACCCAAAAAGGAAAAAAACGGCTACTTGTTGCCTTGTTCAGAAAGTTATTGTTCTAATCTACCATCATTAACACTCTTATCTGCAACTATCTGATGGAAACAAGCAGCTAATATATAATACTGCAACTCATAATTGAAAACCCTGGGTTGGAATCACGGGACTGCAGCCGCTATCAACACTAGAACTCTATGGATCACAGTTGATTGTTTTGGCTAGTTACAAAGTTTTGTTTAGTCGTGATGACTGATCTTTTCATCATGAAGGAAGGTGGCTGGGTTGATGGGAAATTTCTGGATTTGGGTCTTGGACAGTGCGAAGAGGGGAGGAGGAAGTTTTAGAGTTATGAGAACCAAAGACGGGTTCGTAGGGTGGTGTATAGATGGATTTGAGTCATATTCCAAAGAGAGCGCAATGCCTTATTTTGTCTTTTCATCTCGCATCTCATTTTCATCTATCCAGTTCTCGGAATATGTCACCATGCTACACTAAGATGGCATGAATATGTGTTGAAAATAGATATTTTTCCCCTGGGTTTTATATATGTCAATTGTCAAGCTTGTGGACATAGGGGAATTCAAGGAAGAAGGAAGTTGCAGATTTTTTTGTTACTACCTTCGGTCTTAATTATAAGACTTTATCTGTAAATTATAAATAAAATCTTATAATTAAAAGTAGAGGTAGTATTATCTATTAATTTTCTAATATTGTCTTTTCGGAAAAATTTAGAAGAAAAAACTTCTCCTAAAAATAAAACAAAATAAAAGAAACCAAAACTATATATGCCTCCCGGGTCTTTGAGCTCAGGCCCGGCCCAAATATAGCATTTAAAAGGGAAATTAAGAATTTGCACGCGCTATGAATGGGCTTCTACTAGGGTCTAACAATTCTTCTTTTTTATCCAAATAAAATAAATAAAATTTCAATAAGGTGACAGGAAAAATAGAATGTTCAAAGCCCAGACAACATGAAAATCTAACCCTGAGGCCTGAACTACATAAAGAAAAAATTATAAAGCAGTGGACCATAAAAATCCGAAAAATATGCTGTGGGTGGCACGCACACGGCTTCAAGTGGGCGAAACCCCCAGCATGAATTCAAAGTACTATAACGCTTCATTTAATGATTCCTTTTACAGAATCAGGAAGGTGGTGGAAACACAAAACCAAACATCTTCCTCTCTGCCCTCCAATCACGAATCAAGCAACATCATTACATTTCAATTTCAACCAGCAAATATCACCAATTCCGATTTGAATTCCTTCAATGGAAGGATATTCGTCATTAGATTCTCATATAATATTGTTATAATCTAATAGTTTTGAGAGGGGAGTTCCAAAAAAAAAAATTTAAATAAAAAATGAAAAAGTCTTCCTATCATGACGATTAAATCATAATCTCATGGTTGATAATTTAACTAAACTCAATTGAAAAAGTTAATTGAAAAAAAATTCAAGAGATGGAGCATATAAGAACTAAAATCCAAAATGGACCCTCCGGAGCCGAACTAATCTATCCAAATCCAGCGGTTGGTGAACGAACGAAGCGCGGAAAGGGTCCAAAGTCCAATCACCGATGGAAGGATCTGGGCCGTTTATTGGGCTACGTGGATTGATCTGATGCGTTGAATCACGAACGGCTGCAATTGGAGCTGGCAAAATGTGTTGAGAATTCGAACGCGTTCTGCACATAAAGTGTGGTGTTTATTTTGTTCTGCATCGCTATCGACGATGCCTAAACTTCCTTGGATTTTAGGAATTCAGTTCTGAATCTTTCAACCATCAATTGGAAGCCGCGTCAGAGGCCAGGCTTTGTGACTCTATGGGATATTTGCATCATCTTTCTCTTTCAGAAGCCTACCATTCTCACAACAACACAGGTGTCTTCTCTGCAAAGGGAACATTATTATGAAACACGTCACCAGTTGTGCTTCATAACGTAATGTATATGACAAAGCAAACTCGTCATGCTGTTTCAAGCACACAGTGGTCCAACAATAAATCTCATTCCGCATTATTGAGGCAAGTAGGCAACACGGTCCCCATCATTTCTCGAGAACAACACGAAATTCAGGGACAAGAATGAAACATTAGCCCTGGCTGGGACAGAAAGGAATGGGAGCGATTTCTGACTTTCGGCTTCTGCTACTATTCATTTTCTATTCATTAGACTGTTCATTTTAATTTTGAGCTTGTTGAATCTCCTTTCCAAGAAAATAGGACGTTTTCCCGAGATCTTTCAACTTTTGATTCAAGCCTTCAAGTTTTTAATTGACCTAAAATTGCTTCCTCTCCTCAACATACACGAAGTTATCATAAGTTCAGAATTTGATTGGCCGACAGAGTTGATTCCCTTGGGGTTTTGTTAAAGCCTAATCCAAACCAATGCTCATCATTCCTGATCTACAAGTTAATATTGCTCCTAGCTCCTCCCTTCAGTTCCATTGGTAATCCTCCAGAAAAATTAATGCACATCCCTGCTTATTAAATTTTTCCATTCTGGGTGAAAAAGTCTGTAAACCTAAAAAAAACTACAATATACCCAGTGAAAAGTCCTGAATTCGTTTTTTGATACTGCAAAGAAAAAAAATTGTCATTCAGAAAACCGTAGACTTTCTCCTGCTTTCTTTCTTCTCGTTCCTTTGAGATGTTAAGCTCCAACAATCAACGTCACCTCGCCGCTAATTAAGACCGCCCACCTCTCTGTGTTGAAGACCAGAACAGAAAGTGAACCTTCCAAATGACAACTAGCGCGGCAAAAGGAAAATAAATGCCAGGAAATCTTAGGTATGTCGACGTCGATATTGCTATTGTGAAGATATAGAAACAAAAGTTCTTTTCTTCTTCCCAAGAGAACATATCCAATGCCATAAAACATTTGTGTGAACAGAAAACGAAGAAGACGTTTCTCCTTTGCAGTAACATTTTGTTTTATATATCTCAGCAACTAAAAGAGGAATAAAAAGAATTGACCTATGCTAGGGAATTATAATATAAACATTCCTTAGTTATACTTGCAATGCAAGAATTCTAATATAAACACATTAACATGCCTTTTCTTTTATTCTCTCGCTCTCTTTAATCTCTCCTTTCAATAGGTGTCACGCTGCATAACTTCTACCGTATGTGGTTGGCATTTGCCCCACGCTCTTGACCAGCGTGTGAATAAATGATGAAAACGTCTCCTGCGGTTCAGGAACAGGGTAGTTGATGCAAAGTGCAAACCCCATCAAGAATAGTTCTGCACTTCACCTAAAAAATCATCACACAAATTGGATGATCCATGGTAGAACAAACCCATCCTCTTGGAAGTTCCATTTGTAAGTCCTATGTCATGGACTTCGTAAGTATTTAAGCGGGTTTAAGGAGGCCATATATATGAACTGTAAACATTAAAACTCTTTCCTGAATCTGACGCATTAGCGTGAGAGAGAGAGAGAGAGATTTGAGATGGAGAGAGTGAAGGTGATAAATTTAATAGCGATCGTAGGAGTGGCATCGCTGGCATTAGTGTCGAAGATGGAGAGCCTGCATATCGGGGCACCAGCAGAGCCTAGGCCGCTTTGCGCATCTCAATTTGCACTTGCAAACTATGCTTGTGCAAGGCTTCCTTTCACTCCAGGAACGCCGCCGTCTCCTCCCCCCTCCCCGGACGACGGCCATAGCCATCGACAACGACACGGACACAGACACAGAAACGGACACGGACATGGACACAGACACCGTCATCACACTAGTCAGGAGGAGGATTGTTGCAGGTGGGTTAAGGAAGTGGATAGCCAGTGTGTGTGTGAGGTTTTACTTCGCTTGCCTCCCTTCCTTGTCAGGCCTCTTCATCAGTACACAGTCACCGTTGGAGATTTCTGTAATGCTACTTATTCCTGCGGGGGACCCATTTGATCACGTCTCTTAACCACCATGAAAAGTAGCCTAATGTTGTGTTCGATTAATAAGTTTTAATTTACGCTCATCTTTCTAATTAATTCCTTGTACTTATATATCTCTGGTTGTTTAGCTTCTGTGCGGTCACTCCTATTTCCTCTAAGGTTGAGACTATGGTTTGTTTGATTATCCACTCAACTCTTAGGAAGGTTAAAAATCAAATAAAGTGGTGTGAGCTTTTCACATGATGATCAGATTTACCAAAATTTGTGTTTAACACGAAAGAGTAAACAAAATTACATAAATGAAGTTTCTGGGGTACTCCTTCCTGATGAGTCCATGTGATGTACCTGATTTCTGCCATAGAAGCTTAGCTTGGATGGTGAAAATGAAACAATTTATGAGGTGATGTTAAGAATTCAAATTATCTCGATGTAAGAAAGAAGGCTAAAGTTAATAAATAAACAAATAAATTCCATCTTTATCATGTAAATCTACAGGAGTAGAGATTACATTGCTCTATGTTTAGTTATGATAAACTTTAAGAACATACAAGCATTTGATTTGCATGATCAGGCAAAATGCACCGTTTATAATTTTTAAATATTGCGATTGTCTATAAATATATATATATATATATATATATTCTTTAGTGGAAAACACCGCAACAATTTTTTTGTTGCATGAGAGTGTCAAATATGCTTGTCGTCCTTTGACTATTTGACTGCAAAGTTTTTTACACCATAACATCAAATAACATACTTACAAATTTTACAGAAAGTACTTATTTCAGATTTTTGCAAATACACATCTTTTTTATCGTTTCAAATTCGCTAAGTAGCAATTTTGTTCTGGATTTTTTTTTTCGCTCAATACAATTGATATCCTTAACTTTTGATTGACGCAATATTCTCCTTAAAAATTTTTAAAATGGTACAATATGGGCCGATGGTAACATTTTAGTAATGTTGACGGTTAGCTGATGAATAATTTTTGAGGGTCAATAATGAAAAATTTTGCCTCAAAAGATCGTTTAAAGAGTTGGTATCATAAGCTTTCAATTTATACAATCTTTTTAGGTTATTGTCGTTGAAAAAAAAAAAAAAATCCGACTTTTGTGAAAATCCAAATCAAAAAAATCTGAATTGAATTATAGTTGGGTTAAGGTGCGCCCAGCACCCCAACTATTTTTCCAGATGCTCCCAGTGTCCTAAAGTAATTTTTGATGCATCCAATATCCCGAACTGATTAAAACAACTCATCCATATGCCGAGCTAACAGAAAAATTAAGTTTGACCGTTACCTTGCTGACTCAGCCGAAGGTTGACCGAAAAATCCTACGTGGCGGACACGGAGGCGTGTGATGTGTATTATTTTGATAGGTTAAGATGCGCCCAGCGCCTCAAACTATTTTTTCAGGTGCTCCTAGTATCCTGAAGTAATTTTTGGTGCATCCAGTGTCCCAAACTAATTAAAACGGTGCGTCCACATCCTGGGCTAACAGAAGAGCCTCGTTTGACCATTACCTTACTAACTCAGCTGAAGGGTAACTGAAAAATCTTACATGGCGGACACGCAGGCATCTGATATGTATTATTTTTGACTGAAATTCAATTTATTTCCTCCTCTTCTAACATTTATCTTCTGCCAGTTTTTAAACTAAAAAAAAGAGACCACCGATCTACCCTCTTAAATCTTTGTACATGTATCACCTATTCAATCACATTCTTGTCTTTAACATTTTATCCCATTTCTTCCACTACTCCTATTTGAAACCGCAATTGCCATCACAGCACACTTCCGTCTCTGTCTCTGTCAACTTCTCATCCATCAGGTCTTGGACCGATACGGGAATCCAATATAACAAAATGGGTCCAAAATCCAGCAAAAACACAAAGCGCATTGATGCAATATATTCTTTTTTTTTTTTTGCCAAGATGCAATATATTCATTCAAAAAAGTGTTGTTCTCCTTGGACCATTTGCATAGTTACTCGCACTGGTAAAAACAATTTACTTATCATTCGTTTTTCCTATGATGATACTCCTCCAATCCTTAATATAAGATCTATTTAACTAATTTGATTATATTAAAGAAGTTAGGTAAGTTAATTAATTATAAGAAAAGTGATATATTTTTTCTAAAACAACATAGTCATTTTTCTTAATACCTCATCTCCCTCTTTACTTGATTATGATTGAAAGAGTATCCATAGGGGTAATTTAGAGAAATTGATAAATATAAAAAATGGGTCTTATATTTATAATCAAACCCAACTCAAGAATTGGGTTTCATATTAAAGAGCGAAGGAGTAAATTATAATTCAGCGTTTACAAAAATAGGCGCGTGGTTGACGTAATAGAAACATGGTTAGGTTCAAATGCGCGCGCGCGTGTTTTTACAGAAGAACCAAGTAGAATCACGGACGGAATTTAATGCGGAAGAATGTGTCATTGAGTGACTAATTTTGAATTTTTTTATTACGAAAATTGTTCAGTTGACATGTGAATCTGGGTGAGGGGTGGATAATGCAGGCACTATAAGTATGGGAGGTCATCCCTCCACCTCGTGAGGGTATTAAACAAAGTGTTGCGAATATGATCCATTTTTCCATCCCATATGATATGATGAGACCCTTTTCGCCGCATGTGATCTCTTCTAAGTCCAAACTCCCCACTCTTCTTTTTGTTTCCCACGCCACTCTTCTATTCTCTTGCTATCTTGTGTGTGTGTTACTATTTTTTTGTTTTTAATATAAGAGTTTGTTTGATTTTTATTTTGATCCAAAATATAAAACTCCAATTTACTTTATCTCTCTTAATTATTTATTTTTTTTCAAAGTAGTCATTGTAATAATAGTAATTCTAACTAATACATTTGATTAGCAAGGACATTTTAGGAAAGATAACATATATTTATTACAAATAACCAATTTAATTAGTTTTCTTAATCTACTCAGATTATTCAACTAGTTTTTATATTAACTAAGGACTGGAAGTGGTATTTTGTTAATTTCATCCACACTCGTATTCCTTAACAACACATTTCTATCTTGATTAATAAGCATTTGGCGGTTTGGGGGATATTTTGGGGCCAAAAAAAAAAAACTCAATACATGACAAAAACAGTCCAAAATATCACTCGAGGATTATTCATCGTTAGACAAATCAGAATTTCAAAGCATGAAGAGCTTTATCTTTCTGTCTTCCTCAAAATGTTATTCATCTTCAGAGTTGTCCGATTAATATCGTGGTAGAAAACAGGGCACGCGCAGGTCCTAGTTCATCCTTCCAGAGACACAGATCAAACCCCCTCCCCCCGCCATTCATGACTTTTAATTTATTTATGGTATTAGGACGCTATTTTTAGCCTTAATTAGGTTTAATGTCCCATAATGTTATATTTGTATTTCAGGCAGCAAATAAATTATTTAACCCAATCGATCCAATTTTTATCATTATTAGTGACGGAGGTTGGAACAAAATTAAATTTGCATGACATGCATGCATGATGAATGTTGAAGTGTCTTGTATATTACAGATAGAGAAAAAATATTTAATATATGTAAACATGAATAAGTAATTTATGATGAATTCAGATGAGTTGTGTATGGATAACTGGAATAAATGTTTGTCACTGTGCTAAATTCAAATCTCAACGAATTATTTATGAAAAGTATCGATTAGTAAAAATTTCCTATCAATGGAGAGGTGAATTGAATACAGATATTTGGTACTAATTTCATTAACGATGTCACATTTATTACACAAACAGCTTATTGGCCAACAAAAAAAGTATAAATAATGTGGGCAGTAAACTGTAACCGCAGCCCGTACAATATCGTATAAGAGACCAACAGTGTTGGTCTAAGTGAATGGACTTGGACACCTTAAACATCATGTCTTGAGTTTGATCCTTGAGACGGTATGTATGGAGCAATACTGTTAGAAGGGGTCCGTGCTACGGTGCCTGATAGTACCTGAGAGATTAGTTTTTCACTGTCTGAGTGGGAGGATACTCTAGCCAACCAAAAAATCGATCACAAGAGGGAGACTGAAGAGACGTGAAGTACTCAGCACGTTGCCGTAGCCATGGCGCTTTCCAGGGCCGACGACGACTGTCTAGGGGGGGCCAACATTCAGAGAGGGAATATTGTAAAGGAACCTGGCGACGTTCATAGCACTTGGCTCAGCCACCACCTTCTTCCATGCCTCCTCTGCTTCTTCCCCTTGCTTGCGGAACACGGTTGTCGCGTCTAGCCGCTGCATCTCCATCTCTTCACGTCGCGCAATCTCTGAATCTTCCCCAGTTGTTTACGTGCCAATTTATACGTGTTTTTCTTCACTTCATTCACCGCTTCTTCCAGTAACCTCTGCTTGATTCCTTCATCCCTTATCCACGATTCGTTTCGAAAATACTGATCGAACTCAGGAACTCCGATAGCTTTTCTAATCCCTCGTGAGTAGTCTCCCCTCGGATTGAAAAAGGGTCTCAGTTCATCTACCATTCCACTCTCCAACATTTGATCAACCCGTTTGGCCACGTATTGGTCGAGCACGGGCAATGACACGTCTGCCCAGAGACAACAGAAATCGTATCTCGATCGGAATTTATAGTCGTCATCGTCGATCAGTGCCTCAATATACGAGTTGGACCCTCCCACGATGATCGGAAGCTGTCCGCAAGACGTAATTGACTCGATGGTGAGTAAAGCCGCTTCACGGAAGTGGGAGGCCGTGAACTCTGAGTTGGGGTTCTCTGTTCCCAGCAAATGGTGAGGCACCCCTCGTCGGTCTTCCTTGGTGATTTTATTCGTGGCTGTGTCAAGGCCTTCATAGACTTGTATTTTGTCGGAGTTGATGATTTGTGCAGGAAAAAGGGTGGCGAGGTCAATGGAGAGCCTGGACTTTCCAGTGCCGGTGGCTCCCATGACCACCACCACCTTCTCTTTCTGCCTTGGAAGATTGATCAGTTTTCGACTGCTGGAAGGACTATCGATCAGGGTTTGTGCCACATTTCTGCTTGTTACCATGGAGATGCTCATGGCGGTCAACCTATATTTCACAGAGAAGGAACTCTACAGCGCAATGAAAACCCGACTAGAGAAGACCGGTGAGGAAGCTGATGCAACACTAATACAAGAATGACATATGTATATATCCTGAAAGCTCACTCAAAGAACTCAATTAGCATTGAATTTGAGAATGGGAAGAGGCTAGATGGTGGTGTATTTATAGGACTAGCTAGGGAGGGCGAAAGAGGTCAAAATACTCGACTCTGATGATAGCTGTTCGATGAAAAGAAACCAATGGTGTTGTGCAAATATTCTGATAATATTTATCTGTCTTTTTCTCTTTTTTCCCTTGCATTATATCACTATAGCTCACTGGTCCTGAGCCCTGAGAGGTTATTTGTGTCCCGTAAAAGCCAAGTGGGTACGGTGATTGCTGGAGCAGCAAATTGCACAAGATCAATGCCACCATGATAAGGTCTTCCTCATTATTCCCTTTTGTTTTTTTTTTTTACTTTAGTATAGTGACTAATGCAACTCTTCCACACCTCCTATCTGATCAACGAACAAGATCAATTGCCTTGTAATTAATACGCAGTATTGATGAGATAACGTTATATTTTTCAACTGCATCTATTTGAGTGTAACAAGAGACTCCCTTTTATGTTATACACTTATATGTGTAAAAGCAATATGGTTTCCAAATAATAACCGCAGGCAAAAGCTAATTCTTAGTTTATGTATTGGAACGAAACTGGAACAAGAATTGGCTAGGTAGGAGAAGATTTGTGAAGATAATTAGAGGGAAGTGTGTGAATGAACAAAGTGGATAGGTTGCAGTGGGGACGATGATGATGAGGGAATTGATGATAAGTGCCCATGATAGTCCAAAAAGAAGCATGACGTAAAGTTGGAGGGGAGAGCATTTGTTCGGATGAACTGGAAGGAGGGAGGACACGACTGGGCAGCATAAAGATGAGAGAGATTCTCGTCCGTGCATGAAAAAAGGAAGGGTGGCGATGGCACGAAGGATTGGAGAGTGGAGTCCTTATTTCAAGTGATTGAACTTAGGATGACATGAAAAGGTGCTTTTCCCAAAAAAATTAGCACCTCACATCTTCTTCCCCCCAGTGGATTCCAACTTTCGATTTCATTTTCTTGCTGAGGGCCCACTATCCCAATTCTCAGCTCAAGCAAGTAGCATATTGAGAGTGAGTCCCAGATTGTAATTCCCCAGCAGACGAGATTATCTGCAAGTGGCTGATGAGGGCCTTAGAATGAGGATTTTTAGTCAAACGGCAGTTTCTTGTTATTCATATATCAACAGCGTGCATTTGTAAAAAGATAGAGAGGAACTGTGTGTGTGTGTGATCAGATCGGAGCAGCGAGACAGTGGATTCTGGCAATATTCCCGATGGATGAGAAAAAATACTACTATTTGAGATCATTATGAAGTCTCTATTCTTGTGTTTTAGTCATTGAAAAATGATAAGAGAAAATATGCGGATAATGTGTTTTAATGTAAAGGGAGAAACAGAGCCACATATGTATGTGGTAGCTTGCGTGGGATTACACACAATGCTGCTATGCCAATCATGATTACGGCTACTTTTTAACTTCCACTCGTGCACATCCTGTAAGACTGCAGTGAGTGAATTTTATTGTAATCTGTGCGTCATTATTACTGTCTTTGCTGAATTTATGCCAAATTTTGTTATCCGTTTTTTTCGATTGCAATACTATCGAGTTCCCGTTCATACCGGGAAAAAATATTTTAATATATGTATATATATTTGTGTGTCATACCAAATTAATAATTGCCACAGCAGTCAACATCAAGGTTCACATATCTTGGCAGAACAAAAACTTTATTACTGTGTTTTATTTACGCCTTTTGAGCTTAACAACGTTGTGTAATGGGTAATTAAAGAAGCTTTAAACGTGGAAACTGGAAAGAGTCGCATCAAACCAAATTATATCTAATACTTATCATCTGAATCATGAGCATGAGGCCCACAAAAGCCATGTTCATGTATACCTAACTACTTGAGATCTCTAGGTAAGTGATCATACCTTCGCGCTGTTCGAGACGAACTCTAGCTCTCTCTTCCGCATCCTCATCATATCAAACCCGAAAACTTTAAAGTGATCGAACTTTACCCAAAAAAAAAAAAAAAAAGATCAACGCGCTGTCCTCGGATTGGAAAATCTGATCGCCTAGCCGCTTTTTGGAAGAAAGGGAGGGAGGGAGCGTGTTGGTATTACAAGCACAGTGGCGTTGAAACGAATGGATTTTGAGGGATATGATGGAACCTGCAAAGAAAATAAATGATAATATAATGTGCCCCAATGATTATTGTTAAATACGTCATCAATCATGTAATTTGGCACTCGATTGAGTGAGTCCGCTGTTGAGGCAGCCCTCGAAACTTCTCGTTTTATGTCATTTCCGTTGGAGGTGAATCCAAATTTACTTTACGCACGCGGGGCTGGATGTGACACAAGAGTCCTGCACCAGTACTGATTAAAGACCGTAATGAATGATGATTATGATATCATTATGTGAGATTTTATTCATGTACCAATCACACGTACGATGATCATCATGGCGGGCTTCCCTTTTCATTTTTCTAATTCTCGATCTTTTCTCGTTAATCATCCCTTCTCCCCCACCAGCTCGATCACCTTTTGCAACATTCATGCACATGAGTACATCCATGTTGTTTCCAAGTACTAAAGTCTGGAGATCGAGTAATGAAAAATAATCATCACATATAACTTTAAAATTCTTCTCTTGCGTGTGTATCTATGTCACATCTGCATTATTGGGAATAGTTCCTTTTCTGTGGGGAAAGTGAATAAGCGTTTGCCCTTTTGTTGCGGTCGATCTTTCCCAGGAATATGTGCTCGCTAGCTCTTACGTTTGACCAGATCTTGGCCGGAGATGCAATTCTTAACCAAGCGTATAAAAACAGATTTGCAGTATCCAAGGTTTGGCTGTAGTGATGAGAGTGAAAGGGGGAAGATATCTGAATAGTTTGAAAATGATTGGCATGCTTGTGTGGCTAAAGATAAAAGACAAGCAAGTGCGGCCTAATTCGCTGCTTGGTACTTTGGATTAAGTCGAATCGAGGCATGAGAGTGAACACGATAAAGAAAATATAATACATTCGTTGGGTGGCCTAGCTAGTGAGGCTCTACGACTACTCTAGTAATCGCGATCTAGAAGCTGAGGATGGCCGCACCATATGGATAATGACAGAGATAGTGCACACGATAAAGTCATAAAACAAACAGTTCACCAAAATATAAAATTCCCATGAATTTAAAACTCCTCTCAATATTAAGTCAGTTGCATGTCACTCTTTTAACCTTCAAAAATTTAAATTAAATATTCTGATATTTTATGTTTTGATTATCAGCTCTCCTCCAGCTAAAATTGTCATTAAAGTTAATAATTTTGACATGTCATAATTTTTATATTTTTTATTATATGTCAAATGATTTAAAAAAAATATTTGCTGGCATTCAACGTGTAATTTTAAGTTTTTTTAATTAAATACACATGATCAAGTAAATATTTAAATATTTTTTGAAGTTTGTTCTATTTTTAAGTATTTCATTTCAATTATAAAAATATTTAAAATTACATGTTAATTCAAATATTATTTTCTTAAATGATATGGTATAATAAAAACTATGATATAGGGAAAATCATTAACTTTAACGGTAATTTTAATGGTAGAGGAGTCAATAATCAAAACATGAAATATCAGGATCCTTAATTTAAACTTTTAAAGGTTAGGGAGGTGATGAGAACTAATTAAAAGTTGAGGAGTGTTTTTTGTATTTAAGCCTAAAATTTAATGTTAGAAAAACAATATATTTTAAAAAAAAAACAATATATTTTTTTAAACATATATTGTACTACCAAGAATAATTAAAGAAAGATCTATTTTCTTAATTGCTCTAGGACGAGCTCTTAGATTCTGTTTGGTACGAATCATTGAAATGAGAGGTTGAGATTGTGATTTAAAAAAATTAAAAAGTATTTAGTATGAGTAATTTCTTATTACATGAAATTAGGCAATTCCATATAGGTGTAGTTGAAAAATACCACTTCTCTTCAAGGCGTTCTTTAATCGTGATATTCTTCAATTACACATATATGAATCTGTCCAATCCTAAGTAACAATAAATCACCTATACTAAACACTCTTTTAACATATTTTTTAATCTCATTCTCAATCTTTACCCCTCATTATATTTTCAATATTTCGTATGACCTTAGGCCCCGTTTGGAAGGAAGCATTGAAAATTAGGAATAGGGATTGTGATTGGGATTGGGGTTAGGATTAAGAAAATCTATTAAAAGAATATTTAACACAAGAGATCGCTTGTTATATAGGATTAGCCAAACTCGTGTGTGGGATTGGGGAATACCATGGGGGAAAGTGGTATTCCCCAATCCCACCTCTATAGGTTTGCCTAATCCCATGTAACAAGTATTCATGCTAAAAACTATTTTAATAATTTTTTTAAATTACAATCACAATCCCCATTCATTATTTTCAATGCTTCGTACCAAACGGGACCTTAATGATTTGGGCAGTGCTCAAACCAAATCAACCAAGCACATGAAGAATAAGTAATAAAGGATTTTTTTAATGCCAAAATTCTGGTTTAAAAAAAGACTGATGAAGGATTAAGCACAGCTATCACTAAAAAAAAGGGATTAAGCAGATCATCATCTTTGGTGTTTACAAGGATACTATGACCGAATTGATAGATAATGCGTGAGCCCGAGCACGATCCAACTAGGAACAAATCAGCATTAAGTGCCTGATTCAAGAGTCGGGGATGATGATTTAATTTTCAACGGCTATAAATATCATTTATGTAACATTTTAAGCATTTCTTGCGGCAAACTGAGTGAGTATAGAAGAAACACATCAAGAATTTAGAAAAACATTCGGATTATTAAAAATCAAAAGAAATATGCTGTAGCTGTAGGGCTAAATCGCCGGAAATCTTGAAATTTTTGAGACATGGTTATCGTTAAGAAAAGCTGAGCAAAGGTGAAATAAAATTTTGTGGGCAAAAGAAAAAGAAAAAATGACGTAAAAAAAAAGGTTAAAAATTACAATATTTTAATTTAGACATCTAAGAGGCCAAAATTTTAAGGGAGGAAGTGAA